CTAACAACAAAAACAACAAACAGCTTGTAAAAGATCATCCTGGTCGGAAAAGCAGAGTCCGCAGAAGATAGGAAAGTCCTCAGAAGACAGGTCCACACGGTGTCGGTAGCATCGGGCCCCAAGTGTGTCGGGAAGTGTGGGGTCGGGGCAGGACCGCACAGGCCTCAGATGCATTATTCACATAATCGACATAACTCCTAGTTGCCTCATTGGGGCCCAACAACCATCCCAGTGAAGAACTTCTTTCTCAGTGCTGTGTATTGATTCATGGAGGGCTTAATTTTACCCCCACGACCTGGATTCCAGCAATCAGTTCTCCTGACATGCCCACCGCTGCCTCAAGCCCCCATCACCCAGGGCCCCGGAACCTGCTGTGGGCTGTTCCTGCTGTTCGCCCTCTGTGTTCATCCGGTTGGCCCCTGGCAGCTGGGCCAGTTATTCCAGGAAAGAGTAAGAATAGCCCCTGGTTGACGGCTGTCCACCACAGTTAAGCCTTGTCCCCTCGCGGTGCCAGTAGCCTCCCAGCTGAAGGACTCCAGTCACGTGGCCACTCTGATCTGGCTCCCAGGGTCCAGGCGTGAACTGGACAGGCCCCAACCCCTGCCACGATGCTGCTAGAGAGATACTCTGTATCTAGACTCTCAGGAGCCCTGCTGGCACAGGGGGGACACACTCAGCTCTCACTACAAGGTCAGGGGTTTGAACCCAGCAGCCGCTCCGAAGGAGAAAGCTGAGTCCATCTGCTTCTAGAAAGATTCACAGCCTTGGAGACCCCATGGGGCAGCTCTGCTTTGTCCCGCAGGGTGGTTGGGGTTGAAGTCCACTTGATGGTGACGGTGGGGTGGCCTTTTTAGGGAGAGGTGGGTAAAGCTCTTGGCAACTTGCAGAACTCTGTTGCAGAGACAGCCCCTCCTCCTCCTCCTTCATCCTTCCTTCTTCCTTTCCCTCCTTCTCCTCCTCCTCTTCCTTCTCCTCTTCCTCTCCCTCCTCCTCCTCCTTCTCTTTTTATCAAATCAGATCTGACAGGTACAAGATGAGATTGTCCCATCCTCCTCCAGCAGATCATCTGGTGGATTCGAACTGCTCACCTCCAGGATTGCAGTGCAGCTTCCTGCCACAGACACGGCATTTCTTAGACCCTGCATCACACGTGCACAGTCTCACCCACCTGTTCCAGGTGCACAGACACATCTACACACCCACAGACTCACAGCCACACCCACACGTTCACACGCACAGCGGACACTCACACCCGTGTGGATTACACAGGCATCACACACTCACAGGCCACAGAGACACAGTCACGCAGACACACAAATGCACCAAGTTGATACAAAGATGCATTGATACAATGGATGTGTGGATGCATTGTATCAACACACACCACATATACACACAGGCCCAAACACCACACGCCCTAGACACACTCCGTTATCTTCTTTACACACACACTCTCTCTTCTCTCTCTCTCTCTCTCTCTCTGTCTCTCTCTCTCTCTCTCTCTCACACACACACACACACACACACACA